AAGCCTCGCAACTAAAAAAAGTCCAGGCCCAGATGGATTTACAGCAGAATTCTACCAGACATTTAAAGAAGACCACCAACCAATACTACTTAAATTATTCAAAATTATAGAAACAGAGGGAGAACTCCCAAATTCCTTCTCTGAAGCCAGTATCACTCTAATACTAAAACCAGGTAAAGATACAACCAAAAAAGAAAACAATAGACCCACATCCTTAATGAACATAGATGCAAAAATTCTCAACAAGATACTTGCAAACCACATACAAACAGACACACACCAAAAAGATCATCCACCATGATCAAGTCTACTTTATCCCAGAGATGCAGGGATGGTTCAATATACGTAAGTCAATAAACGTCATAAATCTTATAAATGGACTCAAAGACAAGAACCACATGGTTGTCTCAACAGATGCAGAGAAGGCCTTTAACAAAATTCAACATGCATTTATGTTCAAAGTCATAGAGGGAATTGGATTGGAGGGAACATATGCAACCAGATATATCTACAGGAACCAGGATAATGGAAAGGAAACAGGAAGGTAAAGGAAAAGAAAGAACCTGGAAGAGAAGAACAGTAGGAAACAGGCCTTAATAATGGAGATATGGATAAAAGTTGGGTTAGTTTAAGGGAGGGGTGAGGGAAGGGTATACAAGGAACCTAGGGGATAAAGGGAAAAAAGGAGCTCAAGAGGTAGGACGGTAGGAGAAGGGTATTGTTGAGGTAGAAAGGGGGGGAAATGGGGGCACCTTAAGTGGGAAAACTATGATGGAGGGGTGAGACAATGTGAGAGATAAACAATGCCTAGCAGTTTTGAAAACCAGAGGGAACCGTATTACTCCTACAACCTACTGACAAACTATACATAGCAGATCAAGAAATATATGTGTAGGTAAGGTTTATCTGAGAACAACTGGTCTTTGCCCAAGATTTATCTACATGACACACAGTAATTAAAAATACCAGACTGGTGGAACTAACCTTCTTGGGTGTTTAACAGACATACTTTGAGGTCTATAATAATTTGGTCAGAGGGACATAAAGGACACTTTTTGCTCCTTGCCCTCCTAGGTCAACTAGTTCCAAGGGACTATGAGCATCTCTCATAATGTCCTATAATGGTGATGGGTCACCTGTCCTCTTGATCAAGAAGGCCTAGGAGACATCCCAGGTGGACTTGAATCAGTGTCCAGTCTACAAAGAGGAGGGTCAACACAGAGGCATCATTTCCTCCATGCTCCCAAGCAAAACCAACCATGGTCAAGCAGGACCTTTGACTTATGTTCACATAGGCAGAACTGGTAAAAGAAAGGAGCCAGGGGCTCCTCCCAAGCTCATGTGACCCCTTAGGAACAGATCCTCAAACGACCTTAGGAGTAAAAATAAATTGGTTTATGTGAGCCAACTGGATGGTCTTAAACACCCAAAAGGAAAGTATAACCAAAGATTAAAGGGATCAGTATATTTCTTTAAGAGTCATGTCTATAGCTAAAGGCTATATAACAAGAAACAATGCCAGACAGGAGATACCTTTGGGTTGCTGGCCAGGGTGGCCCAAGAGACTCCCAGACAGTAACCCAGCATAGAACTTGGAAAATGAACAGCAGACCCCAATCTTATCT